GGTTGTTTCCTGTCTCCCCCTCCTCCAGTGCCCAGAGGAGGCAGATCGGAGGCGTGGCCAGAGGACCCCGTACTGGGGCTATTCCCTGCCCCACAGGAGGCAGATCAGGGCATGGCCAAGGCACACTGCACTGAGACTATTCCCAGCCCCGCCAGGGCCCAGAGGCAGCAAATAGGGGGCATGGTAGGAGCACTCCATGCTGGGTCTATTTCCTGTCCCCCAAGGGGCAGATTTGGGGTGTGGCTGGAGCACCCCATACCGGGGCTATTCTCTGTACTCCACGGCCCACAGAGGGCAGACTGGGGTTGTGGCTGGAGCACCCCACACTGGGACTAGACCCAGCCCCTGGGGGTTGGGCCCCCTACTGCCATGTCCTGCCCATAGGTAGATCAGAGGCATGACAAGGGCTCTCACCTGCCAGGATGAACATGCAGCCCCCAGCGGCTGCCATCTTGCCCTTGGCTGTGGGGTTCCCGTCTGCCACTTTGGTGCACCTCATGCCCACCACGCTGCACAGGATGGCCATGGCACCGAGCAGCAGGGCTGTGATCATCAGAGCGCGGCAGGCCTGCAGGTAGCCTGTGGCAGGCACAAAGGGGGCCAGGTGAGTAGCAGAAAAGCCTCGGATCATCCCAGGGAGGGATCCAGCTGGGCTGCTGCGGGAGCTGGGATACGGGTCAGGAGGGGAGCAAGAGCTCCAAGCACTGCGGGACACAGCCTGGGGTGGGAGGGAGGAAACTCATGCAGGGCCATCAGTGGGAGGCTGGCCAGAGAGTTTTGAATTGTGGGTATTCTCTGTCCCCCCCCTTCCCTCCCACTCACAGGAGGCAGATCAAGCGTGTGGCCAGAGCAGCCCAGCTGGCCAATAGGGAGCTGGTCACTGGACGCTCTCCTAGGACATGGGAGACCAGTGCTTGGCTACAGATGCCCAGGTGGGTTTGGGCGAGTCCAAATGCTTTGCAACTGACCAGCCTAAGAGCTGGGCCTTATAGGGCCAAGCCATGCCTCAGTTTCCCCAACTCCAGTGGGACCAGTTGCATCCCCCTCCCTGAGAGGGAGGCTAAATACAAGCAGGAAGGTGAGGTGCTCACATACTTTGGTGCCCTGGCTGATATGTCTGCAGCAGCAAGAGTAAACAACTCAGTTGCCTGCCAAATCCCCATAGATATTTCCCCCTCTCCCCCCGCTCTCCCGATGTGGGAAAAGAAGAGAATGAGCCACGTAGGACAGGTGCCAGTTGTGTTGTTAAATGAGCACAATCTGCCTCACCAGCAGGTCTCAGCTCTAACCCAGGCCCCCACTGTGCTGGGCACTGGCACGGACCCCCACCGCTGACAGACCAGGGGCCTTGCTGGGCCAGGCACTGCCCAGATCCCGACACCGATCGGGGTGCTGTTGTGTCGAATGCTGCCCAGACCCTCACTGTGCAGGGGCCTGGACAACAGGGCTCCAGTCTCGGGCAGAAGGGTCACTCCATGCTCAGCCCAGATAAGGGGACCTCTGTCATCCCAGGCCGTCATTAGCCCCACCCTACCAAATAGGCTGCAGGGGCTCGAGTGAGTGACTCGGCACCTGGGCCGGCTGTGGGTGTGTCCAGAGCCACAGGCACCACCTGCCTCCGCAGGCACCCAACTGTTCAGAGCCTCAGCCCCCTGAGCAGCACACTGGGCTGGGAAGCAGTAGTAGGTTGGTGGAATCATTGGGCCAGGCCACTGGGGGGAGCCGGCTCCCACCCACTTGGCCACCAAACAGACTGAACTTCAGAGGCGCTGAAGCAGCAGGTGACCTACCTGACCTGCAGCCTCCTCCCTGCTCCCCATCCCCAGGTGTGAGCAATACCTGCAACGAGTTGAATGCTTCTACTGCTGCTCCCCCAGCGCCGCCCGCTGGCCCCACCCCCAGCGCCCCACAGCCGTGCTGGAGGTGCCCCTCTGCCTGAGCTTCTGTGAGAAGTGGTAAGTCAGTGCTCCTTCCCCCGCCTTCCTGAATGGGGAGGAACAGGGGGCTAGGACTCCTGGTCCTCTCTTTGGTTTTGGGGGGCAGCAGGGACTAGTGGTTAGAGTGGAGGGAGGAGGGGCTGGGAGCCAGGACTCCTGGTTCTCTGCCAGCCCTGGGAATGGGAGGAGGGGGCTCTGCTTGGACACAAAATCTAGCTCTCACCCCCCTGAGCAAATTGTTGAGCCCTCGGCCCCCCCGGGGTCACGTGCTGGATGCCTGGAAGCACCTGGCAGGCCCAGCGGGCACTTCCTGAGCCCCAAAGTGCCAGGAATTCAACGTGTTTCCACCCCCCTCGAACACCTACGGGGCAGGTGCTGGGGCCAGGCACCCCGGGCTCGCTGGCACCTCTGCACAGAGCTGGGCAAACAGTAGCTGCCCGCTTGGCTGGAGAGAGGGGGCAGGAGCAGGGCACGTCACACCCCTGCCGGCTGAAAGGTGGTAACCCCCATGCAGCTGTTCCGCGGGAATCTCCTTCCGTACAGCCCCATTGCACAGGGAGGGGAACTGAGGCACGGGGCGCATATGGCAGAACCACAGACAGAACCCAGGAGTCCTGGCTCCCAGCCCCACTCTCCTCGGACGTGTTTGTGCGTCGCCCCATTCTGCGCGCTAAGAGCCTTCCCAGCTTTGGCTGAGCTGCTCCTCAGAAGGGGTGGGGGGCGTCTGAGAGTCTCAGCTTCTCCCCTCCCCCATTCCCGGTCCGCCTGGGCAGCTGTCACAAGGAGCGG